AGTGCTGCAAATACAAATATTTAATCAGAATAACAGACTTTCAGATTCAATAACAGGAAGGAAGTGAGGAGAGGATCACAAACTCCAGGAACAGGAACAGGAAACACCAAGGAACTGAACAAGGTAAGGAATTTCAAATTAAGATAAATGATCGATAATAAGAAATTGACTCCAAACAATAATACTCCAAAATAATAATAATAATAATATATTTTCATTGTTTATTTACATGTGTTTAATATAAACATGAAAATCTTGACAGGCCCAAACAGCAAAAAACGTTTTTTAGACTCTTTCCTTCAGACGTGTTCAGATGACGCGTCATGTGACTTGATTTTTACCAACTTTGCATCTTAATTGAATAACAGAAATTTGCTTTTCAGTTTTTTACACCACAGATAAGATGAGTGCTCTCGTGTGGATTTGCATAACATGAGGATGAGGAAGATTTTTGCATGAAAAGAAAATATAATATTTTAGATTTTCAAGCTTTTCAAGACTCTAACCACCATAAGTGATAAAGATTATTTTGTATCATGAAATAAAACAATCAGATTGAATCATCATCGTTGTGTGATGACGTCACATTGACTCGGCTAGTTTTCATTTCCATGCAGATAAGCTATAGAATATGTTCACACTTCAACACCATGAAAAAGAAATAAATAACAAAAGGGGGCAATTTATTATTTCCTTCAAAGCGTTTTAGCAATTTTCTGGATCATAAAGAAACAGACCTTTCGCGCTCATTTATAGTAGTTTGGTCAATATTTCTGTCAGAGGACTGCTTTCAAAATGACACTGTCATGAAAGAGAGCTGTCGAGCCAAACGTCAGCAAAAAAGTGCGGTGAAAAATGCATCCATTAGAGACGTGCATGTGTGTGTGAGTGTGTGTTTTAAAGTTTTGATCTGTGTGTGTGTGTGTGTGTTATTCGTCTTCCCACTCATCGACTCAACCATCATACCAGCCGAGCACCTGTGGACATTTGCCTACAGCCCGAGGTGATGTCCGCACCTTCATTTTTCTCAGACAATGAGTGGAATCATTTCCCCTCACGCAGACCTCTCCATCATTATTGACACAGAATTATTGATCAGAACCTCGGCCGGTAAATTACAACCTATTAGTCAAACTCTTTCCCCGCAGTTCTGAAAAACAGCAAAGGTTGACGGAGAGAGTGCGATTACTGAAGGAGCGGGAAGATCTGCCAGGCGGCTCACGTCCCCTCGCTGGTGTATTATATATTCTGGAAGCTCCTGGTTTTTTTTTTTTTTGCGCCTGTTAAGGAGATTTATTGGGCAAATGCAGATTAAGCGGCAGACAAACACGCACCGGCCCGACCCATTCCTCAAGGTGCTGCTGCCGCTGAATCAACATTAGTTCAAGGAAGCCGAGGTTCCAGGTGAAATCTGCAACACTGAAGTCAGAGAGCACACCAGCTGCCTCGCTTAATTTTTTTCCTCTCTTTTTTTTTTCTTGATGTTTTGCCCGAGGCCTATCCTACTAAAGAGAAGTAATTTGGCTTATCTTATCCCAGAGACCTAGCAGCTGCTTTTTATTCTTTTTTGTGAGGTCTTTTTTCTCATTTAGTCCAACAAAGATTGTCCTCATAGATTGACCTTCTCCGTGCCTGCAGGCCGTTGCCCTCATGCCAGTAACTAGATAACACACTCTATCAGAGATTTGAGAAAATCATTGGGAAAGCAGTGGGGCTGATAGTGGCATCAATCCTAACCTGACACCAGGCTGGGTCAACCATTTATCTCTCCACACCGCCTCTGGTCACAACAGCGGCCATCTTGCTCTGCTACATCCTTCTTTAATAACCTTGGCCACGTCTCTTTGCAGACTGAGAGGATAAGGCGCCACGGCACTCCCAGCCTCTCTCGCCCGATCGCCGCTGTTTTTGTTTGCATTCTACCCGTGAAAATCGCATTCAGACACATTCACACACCCGGCGTGTTTCAGATCAACAAGATTGTCCGACGACGAGCAAATGCACACACACACACACACACACAAACTCACGATGTGTTAAACAAGAGGGCCAAAGCTCGCAAACTCGTTAGCATAGGAGTTAATGGTGACTCCACTGTCATTAATTCCCCATGGTGTTTGACTTAAATGCTTCTATATTGGTGGAGTGAGAGATTCCCAGAGGCCTCCTAGAGCTAAGATCATTGTTTTTCACTTACTAACAATGAACTTATGATCAGAGCGCTGCAAGGCTTTTAAAAAATGCCCCGTAGGATCATTACAGACCGCGAGCGTGCACGTAAGAGCGCGCATGTGTGTGCGCGTTTGATACCAATGAGGCCAGGGGAGCAGCAGTGTGTCCGAGGCTCATCTTGTTGCTCTGTGGCACAGCCGGATGAGTGGGGAGGTTAAATGGGGCGTCATCAATCTCAATGAAGTGCAATTATTTTCTCACTTATTAATCATTGCAGGCTAATAGCTGGTGGCAAAGCTGCGCCCGCCATTTGTCAAACTTAGCAGATTTCTGTAATTTTGTTTCCCCGTTTCCCTCTAATGTTTGTGTAGACTTTGGCAGATATCTACGGAAGGCTGCAATAAGTCTGTGCCTCCAAGTATCTATCTCCTACCTGCACCGCAGAACTAACTGAACTTCTCGCAGTTTCTCTGTGTGAGTGATTCTCTCCATTTCAGAGCTGAGTGACTATTTCATGGTCTGTGGCAGAGCAGAATGGAAAGCTTTATTTGCAGGGTGCAGCACGGACGACCTATTGACGGTTAACTACTCTCAAACCCTCACAAACTTAAACCAATACTCCCACAACCATCACTGCAGCTTGTTTGTTTCTCATTCTGCTGTATGCATGCATTTACATTTTATCAGACACTGAGGAATGTAACGCAGCACCAACCTGGCACGGCCGCTTGACATTTGTTAGAGAGGTCGTTATGTGCACTTTCATCCGACGAGGTCCAGTTGGAGCGATGCCTAATCAGGTCGTGAATAAGGAGCGACTTTGTAAAACGAGCAGGGCGAGGAGTTAAACCACTGGAGGTCAGCAAAAACAACTGCTGTGACATGGTTATTTAAAGCTGCACTGAGTGTTTCATTCTGCCCGACACAGAGAAAAACATCGCTGGTGCACGTTGTTCCCAGGACGTTAAACCCGGGAGTGACAGTACAACTGTATCTATTCCCATTGCCGACAAAACGCCAGGTGTACGTGGGCTAAAGTAACAAACACATGATTATCACCCAACTCTTCAGTTCCCCTCAGCTCCACAAAGAGTTATTGTCTCTTAGCTCATCGTTTGAATGTTCTCACTCTCTCTTCTCACAAACTGTTTAGGAAAATGAACGTAGACTCCGGGTCTGGAAAGTGAAGCCAGTAAAGAAGTGCCAGAAACCTGCGTTCTCTGCCATGACCAGCAGAGGGCGATGACACTGGTCAGTTCCTATAGTGAGGTCTATGAGAAAACTCACTTTATAACGTCAGTAAATATTTTCTTTTAACGTCTCAGTCTCTAGTTTCAAGTCTTCTTCATTAACGCTGACGTTCATTTAGTAAAATATGATCATTAAGAGTCAAATATACGATTGAGCACCGTCTGCATTGGGGGCGTGGATACCGTGTGATTGACAGCTGGTACCATCCAATGGTTCTTATTCTGCTGCCCCCTGGTGACCAAAGAAATCAATTAACACAACCACCCCATAAAAAACTTTAAAGGAAGATGGTGTTTGTTTTTTACAACCTTTTTAAATTTAAGAGAAACTAAAGTAAATAAAATGAACGTATGTATGATGGTGTTGAAAAGACTGAATAAAAAAATCCATTAAACATAATGAGTGTGTAAAGATTTTACGGTTCATTTCCAAATAAGTAGTTAAAAGAGTGATTTTTAACATTCAGCTTCTTACTGAGACGTTGAGCTTCCACTGGAATATCATTGGAGCTGAATGGCTCATATTGTACGAATGCAGAATACAACCAGCTCCAGCCTAACTAAAGAAACTGAGTAAATCTATTCAAGTACAAACACAGAAGTCACCTTGTCAGTGTTCCTTATATTTTGAAATACTGTGAATATCTGCAGCTCTTGGTTATTTCATGCCAGAAGCTAAAACACTTTGTGCAGCTCTGTCTGCCAGATGTGTCAAACAGTGTTGAGTGGACGAGGCGACAGTGAGCGCTGATGTTTTACTGTTAATTTTTCTCCAACTTGATAAAACAATATGTTAAATATTTGTGCGTAGCCGTGCACGAGAGTGAATGAGAAAAATTAGGGATAAAAACAAGAAGCAGTGAAGAAATGATTAAATGAAAAACACACTTTTGGTGTAATTGAACTCACAATAATTGAATCTCAACAGTCTCTTGATGTGAGTGAGAGCTGCAGAGGAATATTTGAGTGTGATGTGTAACTGGCCTCCAGCTAAACGATGGATGGCAGACTGATGTGTTTAAGGACAGACGGTGAAATAACACAGCCCTGTGGATGTGTGTGGTTTGGCAGCTTCATCACTGAGCTGCTGCTGCTGCTGCTGGAGGAAACGTTCACCGGTGTATGTGTGGGGGGGGTGGGACATCTAGTGGTGAGGAGGGGGAACGACATTCTGCTGGATATGTCAGAGCCTTTTTTTAAACTCAGTGCTTGATATTAGAGGTTCTTCATCTTTAATAATTTGTGAATTAAGGACACAAAGAGATGAAATATATATAATATGAAAATAACACAAGATTGAAATGAAATTGTAGATTTTCCTGAAACACTCATGTTTTTAAACCTGAGGCACTATAGAGATTCAAGCAGAGTCAGTTTGTTTGTCATGCAGCCATTTTTTTATTTGTCATACATATACATATATATGGGGATTCAGACTGTAATACTAAGTCTGAACCACAAGATGTCGCTGTTATGACAGGAAAGAATATTCCTACCACAGCTGACATGATTCCTCTTTATGGATTTATTTTCATTATGCTTACTATGCTATACTTAAATAAATCAGATGCATATGCACAGTGTTGCTTTGCAGACTGAGCAGCTGCTGAACCACAAACCAGAATCGCATTCACAGAGGAAACTTCATTGATCTAATTTAATCTATTTAAATAAAACTGTATTAATGCAGAAAACACTGTCATTTATGTGCAAACATTATTGTTGACATGATTCCAGCTCTCGGTCACAACATCAGCTGTTTCCTCTGTTGCTGATGTGATCAGCTGATCGTCTGCAGATCCAATCATCTGGAGTCCTGAGCTGCTCAGCGCACTGGACCGGAGTCTATGAATGAGAGGATTGTTCGTGTTGTTTTCAGTGAACTGCTCCTTTTCCCTCTCAGCTCCACATATGGTGATCGTGTCTCCGCCCAGCAGCTCCACCACTCACCCGCTGCTGTCTCCCCGCCCAGTGCCTGAGTGTGTGTGTGTGTGTGAGAGATAGTGTGAGTGTGAGTGAGTGAGAGATAACAGTGGAAACTGGGCAGGGTCCACCCGCAGTCCACGACGCGCACACGGTGGAGCGTGTACTGTACTTTCTCGTATGCGCCATGACGCACGGTTTGCGCCGACGCCAAACTCCAACTGCGCTCAACTTGTCCTCGCTGTGACATAATTTGTTTCCTGTGGGCGTTTCAGCGCAGACACCGGCCGTGTTGTGTTGTGTTGCGTTTTGTTGCTCAACTTCTGGAAGTATGTGCGTGCGTCGTGGGAGCTGAGGAGGAATGCGCGGATTCGGTGGATTTTGCGCTCGTGTGTGTTTTTGTGTCGTGACTCCAGGCGATCTGCAGTGAGGCACAGTGAGCGTGGGATCCTCCGGAGACATGCAGCACAATGTGGAGCTGCAGCTCTGCCGCTAACACACTGTTTACCTGCGTTGTTGAGACGGAGCCAGACGTGCCTGTGCAGGGGCTCCATGGGTAACCGCCGTGCGTAACGCTGGCTCCATGGAGGACTGCTGGAGAAGCCGCAATCCACACTTTCTAACGCAGTGAGTGATACTTGAAGCAAGATGAGTCAAGAGCAGGACGGGATCTCGTTACAGGTGCCTTGCTTAGGGTCTTGTCCCGGCAAAGAGAGCCCCGGCGGTGAGGGCACCGGTGGCGGCGCGTCCGGGGTCCCCGCAGCCGGAACTTTCTGGCAGGACTCGGCGGTGGTGGTCGGCGGTGCGGTGTTCAGCCCCACCGCCGTGAGCTGCCCGATGGAAAGCGGAGGCTTGCTCTCCACGGGGAAGTCGTGCAAAAGCAGGCCGGTGACGGTGGCTTATGTGGTGTACGGGGAGGGCATCCAGCAGAATAACGCGGAGAGCATGGCCCTGCAGTGCCTGAAGGACGCCTGCGACGCGGTGGGCAGCAAACTGGAGACTGTGAACTTTGGGAAACTGGACTTTGGGGAGACCACGGTGCTGGACAGCTTCTACAACGCAGGTGAGTCAAGTGCAAAAAGCCTGTTTCACCTTCCAAAGCTGCATCTAAGAAATGAAACCAGCACTGAGGAGGTTGCTCCTCTGGATGAGGCCTCAACAAGCTGCCTGTTGTTAGGACAGATTCATTATCTGAATGCATTTCGTTGGATTTAACCAACTCTCCATTATAATGATTAAACAGTTTGATCAATAGTGCAGAGTGAGAGCCAGTCACCCCTGAAGAGCATTACTTCACGGCTCAGGAATGCTCACTCCCTTCCAAACTAGTTTCAGGGGTCAAAGGTCGCACAGCTTGCTGCATCACCTCTGTTCTGAAACTGCCTGCAGGACAGGTTGCTCTGCACATGTCAGGGCTTGAGTCTGTGAACCTGGACCTCTCGGAGCAGGAGAGCATCATTCGGGGTTTTTTTAATTTGCTCCACAGACGCACTCAGTTTCCCCCCTTCCATTGTGCGCCTCCAGTATTGTGCGTCCGGGTGTCATGGGTTGAACCATGAGGCTGGACTTTCCACTGGAATCTCCGAGCAGTGAAAAAAAAAAACCGACTGAAAGCACTTTCCCCTGCTTTTAGCCGTAGTGCACGTGTAGTAGTTGGCTTCTGATCCTACTGGAAATGTTCAGTTGCATAATAAGCAGAGAAAAAACCTCGTTTGGAAAGCAGAAGTTTCAGTCAAATAAAAAGCAGCTGTAAGTGTACGGAGCTGGTGAGGAGCCAGAAAACACTGAACTCAGATATTTGGTTTCAGGATTTGTGCAGTAGAGACACTAGCAGAGATACCTGCTGCTGCTGCTGTGAACCGCAAACAGACACAGCTCAAGTGTCAAGGATACAGCAGCAGTTTCCTCAGTCCTCCATGAGGCCACAATCTAATCCATGTAGCACAAAAACCATATCGGAGAGCAGCTGCGACGAGCTTCTCGTGAAGGACAGCGTGAAACCTTGAGGTTCAGTGTCGTCAGAGAAAGTCACGAGGAGTTTGGGCGACTTCAGGCAGTGAACCGTGGTTTTAAAAGTGTAGAGAAAGAAGAAAGCACACGACACAGAGGCAGAAATAAGGATGCAATTTACCAGGAAGCTTCCAAGTTTAGAACCAGACTGATAAAAAGTCAGGGTTTTGTTTCTGGTTTAAATATTTACTTATGCTGAGAACAGGTATTTATATTTTAGTGCCACTTCTCTAATAGTCAACACTTCATGAAGGCTTTAAATGAAGAAAGACACACATTGATTTATTAATTATCTGAAAATAGTCCTTTCACAGTATCTGCGTTCAAGAGTTTCATTTAATTTCTGAAGTTCTATATATTTGGTTGTATTCGTTTTTCTTTTTGTGAATAGTGCTTACTGTGGTGCGACACCTTATTCTGTCACCACCAGAAAATGACCAAAGCTGACGACAGTAAAATAACCTGAGTATGGTGAGAAGCAAGTTAATGAAACCTTGACTCTGTTGAGGTTTTTGTTTATGCTGACGATGAAGTGCTCAGCATTTGTGCTTCTTATATAAAAACTCAGTAGAACATACAGTGAAAAATTGTTCCTGGAACTAAATTCATTTGCAATAAGTTGTTATTTTACAGGCATTTAACCATAAAATGTGTTGGCAGCCTGATCCTGGCGGTTGTAAAGTTTCTGCTCAACACAAACAGACGTGTTGCTTGTCATAACATCACATTATTAGTTGTACAAACACATCAGGTTCTCTTTATTTTTTTTCTTCCGCTTCTCTTCATCCGACCTACTGAATTTACTCATAATCCACACGGGAGGTCGGAGGCATTTTTCCCAGAAACCCGTTGTTTTATCTGTTTCTAGCACACACACTCTACTTCATCCTCTTCCTGCGACGTGCCGATACGAAAGCCAGACGACAAAAACCTTTCAACGATGAGCTCAGAGCCGGAGCTTGTGCATCGTGTCTGCTCATATGGAAAAGATGATTGGCCAGATTGAAATACAACGAGAGCCTGTTTCTGTCCGAAAACGCCCCCCTCACGTGACGCCGTGGAGAAAGAGGACGTTAGGTTGAGAGACGGCAGAAGCAGATTGTCGCACCTCAGGGCTGCGACGCACATGATGGAGGAAACAGAGGGGGAACTGCTGAGAACTGTCGACTTCAGGTTTTAACTCTCACAGTCGTTTTGATCAGCTGCAGTTTGAAGTTTGAGTCACACGTTGGGGATAATCTGCATGTGGTAAAATTCTGAAACTACAAGATCTGTTTAAAATCCAGTAAACGTGAACCTCGGACTAATGGATCTTTATGCTTCCTCAATTATAAATGATTCATTCATCATCCAAATAGATAGCAAATCATTTTCCTCCAATTGCATTATCAATTAATAATGAATTGTTCCTGTACTATACTTAAATGCCTCGCTCATATTCAGTCTCGCTGCAGCGGGACATGACGGATTGCTCTGTTCAGGTTGGGTCTGTCGCTCTCATGCACAAGAGATTCTGTTATTATTTGAGGGAGAAGTGCAGCTGAAACTTCGAGGTCTGACTGTGTGGACGGTTACAACTTTACGGACGAGCACGCAAAACAATCTACACAGCAAACGGCACCGCACACACCTACACAATGCAGCAGCTGAGTAAAACACCAAGCGGCAGATGCCTCATGGTGTTATGAGGTTTTGGTTAATTGTGAAAGTGTGGCGGAACAAATGAGAATACGACCGGCCGCCGCATGATCGATGGGAAACACTGTTTTATTATCCGAGGGCGACAGCAACAATCCCAAAATAATTAAAAGTATAGTTGCAGTTAAGTAGACGTCGCTGAAGCTGTTTGAAATTGGCTGACTCTTAAATCAGAACCACGACTGAAGGCGTTTTCTCTTCGGCTTTGTCTCGTAATTGTTCCGTCGAGATGAATCAGAGCTTTTAGTCGTTTCTTCTCATTATGTTGACGGAGGTTCAAGTCAAAGAAGCTAAGAGGGTTGGATTGATGACTCGCTGACTCGTGCCACAACATTTAAAGTGCTCAAATGGATCAGTGAAACGACACGTTTCTCCAGTCCACATAATTGCTAAGCCAATTGCTCGTAGCCACTGCTAATGCAGCTTCCGTATCGACTGAAAACAGGTGGAGGACTGATTCATCAGTCACTGATTGGTTAAGATCATCTATAACCTCTCGGAGTTAGAACCAAGTGGCCAAAAATACTGACGCACGCTCACTAACTTTGCTTTCTTGAAAAAAACCATATTCAGGTTAAAAAACATTTGAGAGGAGATGATCGTTCATTTCTGTTTCCTGCAGCGTTAAAGGTGCAGCAGTTGATGTTCCGCTTGTCTGGTGATGTTGGGTCATGGCTGTTCTGTGCAGAGCTTTATCTCTCCAGTTCATCATCATGTTGCATTACTGTGTAATTTGCAGGGAGCACAATGGCTGTTTGAACAATACCCGAGCTCTGAAAGCGGCTCTGCCTCCGTCTCAGTGTTTACCCACCTCTTGTTTTGAGCCGAGAGCCGGACTCCGACACTCGGCGCTCTGCCAGGAACGCAGCTCGCAAATTGTCGTCAGGCTGTCCACTTATGATTTTGCTTCGTACCCTTGAGGAGGCTGAGAGGAGCTCGTTGCTGAAAATCTTTCTGGTCGCAGGTTACTGATGTTTTGAAAGCACGTTAGCTGCTATGAATGCAAATGGTTTCAACTGTTCCCAATTTCCCAGGGAATAATAAATGGATCCTGATGCAAAGCCTCAGGTCTACTTAGGAGACTGATATGAGTCAGTGATTGCAATGATGAATGATAATAACAGAGGGAGATCTGAACATGTTGAAAATGACTGGTGATTAACGAAGAACTGTTTTCCACTTACTCAATCAGCTACACAAGATTTCACGAAACATCTGGACAGTACAACAAAATGGCGAACTCACTATGTAGTGATTAGTGAGTGATTTCTGATTCCACAGCATGAACAGTGTTAACGCCGCCGGCCGTCAGCTGACAGCTCCTTGTCCGGAGCGTCTTGGTGACTCACCAGCGTGAAGACTGAACACTTCCCGCCCAGCTGAGAGGCCACGCGGCTCTGACATCCCATCAGCTGGCACTCTGCTAAGTTGTTTATCCTCCCTCCTGTTTACTCTGCATGCTTAGCTGCCCCTCGGAGGTCAGAGAGCACGAGGTCAGAGGGAATTAGCCTCACAGGCCACTCAACGGCGTCTGGGGAAGAGCGGCATCAAGCGCGCGGTGCAGACAGAACCTCAAGTGCACGTTGGCAGGGAACAGATTTTTTTTTCCCCGTAATGTTACCCGCTGGTCTTTCTCAACAGGAAGTATCAAAATCGGAAGCTGAGAATCTGTTCTTCTTTATTATTTATTGTTGTGAAATTCAGGTTTACGTGGAAATCCGTCAGTGATGAAGAATCTCAGCTCCTCTTTTTTTATTGGCGTGTTTTGCAGATTAATCCTCGTGTCTCTCCTCTGCAGCCTTTAAACATCGTACATGTTCTTCACATACACAGAAGGTGTTGGAAGTGCACGAGGCCCTCAGATAAACCCCCGGGCTAAATCTCTTAAGTGCCCCTCAGAAAAATGACAGGAGGTGGAGAGGCTGCGTTTCAAAGCTCTCAGGTTTTATCAGGGGTTCGTTTGAGGTGAGTAAACCTGCGACTTAAGAAACCAGTGGAGGGAGAGCGAGTGAAATTGACTCATCAGTTTATTTATGATTACAAGGCAGGAACCAGGAAGGGTACTGACTTCTCTACCAGTTCTGCTCTGGAAACACACAATTATTTCTCAGGAAAAACAAACTCTTTGTTTCTGCTTCTCTGGGCTTCAGGTGTAATTTCACCCTGATTCCTGTCAAGTACGACTTCATGTCAGCGCCTCCCATAAGGTGAAGTAACTGAAATGAGGTCAAAACATTGTTTGCTTGGCATAAGAAAAAAAAAACACCTCCCTCTCACTTCAGTGAAAAAGAAGAGAGCAGGAAGTAAATCAAGCAGGCAAGTCGAGGCAGCCAGCACAGCAGCACTGGTTTCTCC